CGGGATGCTGTCGTGCGATGAGGCAACCGAGACGGGTAGAGGTGGTACCAGCTAGTTGACAACCGAGTCCACTGCTGAGTGCTCTGAGATGCTGAGATTGACACGATGGCTTGAGCCAGACTTGTGGAAGGTTTTATGGAGATGAACCCCACGGACGGAGAGAGGGAGCCTGAGCTGGAAAAAGAATGCAGCTCGCTCGGTTGGCCCCGTCGCAATCCACCACCACGGGCAAAACTAAGCGTCCGTCCCGCACATGCTTCGGACTGAAAAGGCCGAGTGTGACCAAAAGTCTGCCGAAGCCGTGGGTTGGCATCTCTCGCCTGATCGCCCGAGACGGGATGGAGAGTTTGGGGGGACCGAGTTCGTGATTGGCGTCGTGTCATTGGCAGAGATTGGCGGAGTAGAAGGGGAGAGAAGCTGTCGGTGTATGCGACATTGCTGTTCGGATACAAGCGTCAAGCAAGGTCGAAGCTCTCAGACGAATTGTGCGCCTGTGAGCTGTTGTCTGTCCCTGCGTCTGTCTGCTTTACCCGTCATGCATATGCCCGCCATGGATTGCTTTAGGTAATGACCCTTGCCGGCCCTACATCGTGAAGACCGTGCAAAAGGCCCCTTGGGTCTTTTCTTCTTCTTTTTTCTTCTGCCCTTCAGCGCTGCCTCAAGCCTCAGAAGCTGTGGCGTCCATTCGCCTCTGGGTTTGTCCTTTCTTGGCTGCCTGATTGGGAGCTTGAGAAGTGACACTCAGGGTGCACGTGGGACTGGAACGAGCATCGTCGAGGATAGGGTTCTATTCGTCATGAAGAACGGTTGTTCGGATTGCTACGTTCCCCGTACTATCTCCAGATGGACGCAACGCAGACCGGGCTAGGCGGCCAGATTGGGGTTGTGAGTGTCGGTCTGGTTGCTATCATTGGCCGTTTGTTTCGCGCAGGCCCAGGTGGTATGCTGGCATGCCCAGATTCGGGGAGTTAAGAGGAGGATTAAACTGCTGACAGGAGTGTAGAGTTCTGGGGGTGGGAGGTTGCAGTCTGCAGAGAAGGGTGTGTATGCGGTCATGATCTCACGCGCGATCCCTTTTCGAGATAGATTGGCAGGGTCTGGGGTAAACGTAAGGGTGTGGAGGTTGTCTCGCGAGCCTCGGCCCCGACATTTGAGCGGTCGCAGAACGTTCGTGTGATAATAGAGAGCTGTCCTTATTCGGGGCTGGCTGAGCGATTGCGAAGGTGAGAGTGAGAGAGAGCGAGAGCTTCTTCTCTTCATGTGAAAGCCGTGGCAGTGGCAGTGTCAGTGTGGGGAGGGATACTTCCCCGCCCCGCTTGCCCAAGGTAAGGTAAGGTACGGATAAGGTAATGAAGGTAAGTACCCACGCAGGTGACAGAGAAATCGGCCGGTCTTCTAAGCATCGAGGTACCTTACACCGTAGGTACCTTCCAACTCCAATCCGTATGTACTAGGTAGGTAGGTACTCGGTCCCGCGGTAGGCACCTGGTGAGCTTGTTCCTGACTTGACCTGACTGGAAAGAGCTGATACCGGACCAGGCGGCGTATAAGAAGGCGGCGACGGATTGGACGCCTTCCATCTGGAGTCAAGTTCCACGTCACCTTTGTTGCTCGGCCCAGCTTGTTCATTCCCATCCTCTAATTCATTCTACCGCCAGTTTGCGAACAAAAGAAGAAGGTGGCTTACCTGAAACAGAGTTTGTGCCTGCTTTGAGTAACGACTTTGGCTTGACGACATTTCACCTTTGCAAACTGAGCCTACCTACATTTACGTATCTCACCTCTGCGGGCCCGTTGACATTTTGTTCCCGTTGCAACCCTCCCGGCCACCGACCCAAGGTACTTTACCACCGCCACCACCACACCTTTACCTCCTATTCTACTTGTTGAAGCTCACCAAAGCTTGAGGACATAAAACACCGAATACTTCTTCGGCCAATCTTCGTCGCAACACATTCCAAACGCATCCACACAACACATCGCATCACAATGGCTGCTCCTGCTACAAAGACGATCGCCGACCTCAACGGCAAGTGGGTCATGGTACGTTCACCCATGTTCTGGATACTTTAGCACCACCAAGGAGCAGAGATGCGCGCAAGGAAAGAAAACTGACAACGCCAATAGAACAAGACCCTCTCCGATTCTCCGGAGCCTGCTCTCGCCCTCCAGGGCATCGGTTGGATGACCCGCAAGGCTGTCGGCCTCGCCACTGTCACCCTCGACGTCAAGCAGTACACCGCTCCTCCCTCCCCTCCCGGCACCGGCACTGAGCCCGTCACCCACTTCGATATCGACCAGTTCGCCACGGCCGGCCTCAAGGGCACCACAGAGAAGCGCTGTGTCGACAATGAGTGGCGTGAGCATTCCGACTGGATGTTCGGCAGCGTCCGTGGCCAGAGCCGCTGGATGACCCTCGCCGAGATTGAGGATGAGTTCCTCAAGAAGGGCTGGCTCGAGGGCGACGCCGAGGCCACCGGTCCCGATGGCAGGGCTCACCTCTACAGCCACGTCGAGAGCATCGACAACGGCTGGACTGCTTCCCAGATCTGGGGCTTCCAGACCGTCGAGGGCGAGAGACGCTACACTCGCAACGTCCTCGTTCAGAAGGGCGGCAAGAGAGTCGAGATCCGCCTTGTTTACGACTACCTTCCTTAATTTTGACGCACGCGGCGTTTTCTGGGAAATTCTGGCATTGGGGTTGGATTATGGGACCGATTCTACCACACACAAAGCATGGCTACTACTACACGCACTTGCAGGGCGTCTAACGCCGTTATGCTCTTGGGCTATGATAGATAGCACGGCGAAGAGTAGACTTTGAGAGCATGAATATCAACTGAACCCGTCTGAAAAACTCCTGTTCCGTGGATGCTCATTTGTAAAAAAGATATACGTGATGACAAGGGAGAGCAATGTTGAATCGTCTGCCTGTGTACCAGTCATTGCCCCAATGCTTCCATCCGCTTCAACATGCGAACCACCAACGCCTGAGTTGATGCAGCCAACCGTCTCATCTACCATGTTTCGTCGTGCCATAGATTCATTACGACCGTTGGATGATCGTCGCCATCCCAGCTCTCTGGGTATAACACTGCTCGGCCCAAACCTCTCACTCTTAAATCCGTCCTCGACAAGCGCACACTCACGCCGGTCTCCTCTTGACAAACTCCTCGAGATCCTGCACCGTCGCGACGCCGAGCACGAAACGCCGCTTCTCGTCAGTGATGACAGCAAAGTGGCTCTTCTTCGCCTCGACGCCGTCTCCGGCGAAGAAGGCCTCGAGCTCCTCGAGGGGTGTCTGCATGGTGATGACGCGATAGGTGCGGCCCTTACGCTGGAAGCGGACCATGGCCTTGGAGAGGGGGTCCTCGGGCTTAACCTTGCCGGCGTCGAGGAGGGCCTGGAGGTGGGGGATGGCGAGATAGCCGACGAGGGCGCGGTGGGCGTCGACGACGGTCAGGTGGGTGTAGTCGCGCTCAAAGGCGGAGATGAGGGCGTGGGAGATGGGGTCGGTCGGCGTCAGGGAGAGGGCGGCGGGGGGGTCGATGTCTTCTACTGTGGCCTGGATGATGAGGAGGGCAGGAGTTAGTCACTGGCTGAGAAGGCTTCGTGGTCTGTGGTTTGAGGGACAAGTGGGAGAAGGGGGACTTGGTTCGAGGGGATGTTCACGTACACCGCGATAACGGGAAGACCATTTTGAGACGAAGGGACTGGAGGTTTCGCTGGTTTGCGACGTAGGTGCCGCCGCGGCGGGAGTGGAAGCCAAAGCCGCCATTGTTGGGAATTGAAGGGACTTTCCGGGCCTCGAGTGAGCACTTGTCACAATAACAGTCGACCGTCGAGGCAGAGTGGGTATCGTTTAATCGTGGTTGGTGGTGGTCGTTCGCGCAGTTGCGTTGGAAATGATATCAATTATCGCGGGGTTCTTTAGAGGGAGGGAGGGGCGGTGTCGACATCGACAGGGCTGAAAGATTTGGCGGTAAGGTACGGGAAAACGCCACAGTTGAAAGTCGGGCGGTGTCTCGGATTTGCTCACAGACGCGCGCGCCGGGGGCGGCTGCCCGCCATTGCGAATTTGCATGTCGGGGGGTAGGATCCCAACACGGTCCACTTGCGCCAGGTATCCATCCGCAAATTGTTAAGGTTTCGCTGAAGCTGCCTGCCGCCGTTCCTTCACCGATCTTGGGGGTTCCACAGCGGGGTGTTGCTGCTGAAGAGTCACCAAAAGCCACGGGAGCGATCGGGTTGAGTATCACGGATCAGCCCGCTGGTAGAATATCTCGCGAAGTCGAAACAAGGAATACCAGATTAGACCTACCATTTCGAGAATGAGGCCCATAGAATTCCGGTCATCTGCTCGCTGAAATTTTCTCGTCGCGCGCATCGAGAATGAAAAAGTCATTCTAAAATCCCTCGACGGAAGTTCTTACGATCGCGGTCAGCCTGGATGCTTTAGTGTAGTTTCAAAGCAATTTCCTATTTGGGCCATCGGCTCTGTCACGGTCAGTTTGCAACGTATCGCCATTTCGTTCTCTCCGTCGTTTACCACAGACTACATGAAGCAGAATCAAGAGTAAAAGAGCGATCGAAAGGGTGTAAATTGTACTTGAATATAAAATCTGATTGGAGAATGATTGATGGACAAGAGTATTGGAAAATGCGGCCGGGAGACGAAACAGCGAAATCACGGCGAAGCTCCGCAAAATCCGGGGATAAGCGCGGGCCATTTCGCGATAACACGGGAGCTTTCCCTCTCGTCGTATTTTGTCGCATGCCGGTGCCCCACTCAAGCTACCTTACTCCTGCTCTAGGTAGTACACAGTACAGCACCTCCCACAGCTCTGCATCAGAGTCGAGACCTCCCCTTCTGAGGTGTGATGTCACCCATACCCTCCCAACACCTTCCGCCGCAGCTGTCGGTCACTGGCGCGTAAGCTCTACCCAAGTCCAGGCGACATTGTACAGCAAACTATTGATGAGGTCGAGGTACCCGCGACATGGACGTGACCGAATCATCCGAACCGACCCCTTCCTTCTCTCACCTCCTGGGCCTTCTTCTAGAGGCAATCACTGCCTACCTCCTCGTTAGAGCCCCGTTCCTTCCTGAGCTATCCTGTCCATCCACTCATCAGCGCCGGCGCCCCCTTTCCCCCAATTATATTCGCACGATAATAAACCTGCTTCTGACCTCTCTCTCGTCCTGGCTTCTTCTTCTTCCTGTGTATGCGTATTTGCGACGACTTCACTCGCAACCTTCTCCTCTTCCTCTGCTTCCGCATTCTCGACAAGTAACCAGCTCTCGACTCTCAAGGTGCTGTCACTCATACGCCGGAAACGGTCATTTGTGTCGCGCGACTGACGTTGCACCTGTTCTCCTCCTACTGTTCTTTGAGCTGGAAACCCCTCCCAGCTCGCTCTTTTGGTGAGTAGAGGTCTTCAACTTTTTCTGTCTACTCTCTTCAACATCGTGTCATATACGCCCATTGCCGGTGTCGCCCGTCTCCTTCGAGCTCGAGCTTCCATTGCCAAAATCGATTACGCGCTCATACCGTCTCTCGAGCTTATCGCAGGGGTATGATCGTCCTTCACCTTACCTCCCGACTAACTTCATTAGCCAGATATCCTTGCAGAAGAAATCCCACATCATCCAACCCTCCCGGTCCAGACGAATTGCGTCTCGACCACCATGTCGTTCCTCTACCCTAGACAAGATACCCTCAAGGGATGCTTTGCGTCCCCTTTTGGCAGCCGTCCTAGCAAGGCAGCGGACACCACGGCCATGGCGAAACCTACGCGCTACCAGGCCCGCCCCGAGTTCTATGGCGCATTCTCCACCGTTGACGACGTCAAGGGCAAGGCGAAGCAGCTCAGCGCCGAGGCCACGGCCGAGTTTGAGAAGGCCAGCGCCAAGGCCCAGTCTGCGGCTGGCGGCAAGATTGAGCTGTACTCTGGAAAGTACTATGTTGCGTGCACCGTCGGTGGCCTCATGGCCTGCGTGAGTTTCCCTTGCCTTCCTAGACCTTGACTCGTCGTTGTTGTCCATGATGGGTGACCTCGTCTCCGCTCCGGGGTCCCCACAGCGGCGCCGGGCCCCGGCGCCGGGCCGCAACGAAAACTTATGAGAACCGCTCGACTAACACTAATGGCTAGGGCTTGACGCATACCGCCGTCACTCCTCTGGACCTTGTCAAAGTGAGAAGACAAATCGACTCGAAGCTGTACCGCGGAAACTTCCAGGCTTGGGGAATGATCTTCCGAAAGGAGGGTCTCCGCGGCATCATGACCGGCTGGGGCCCGACTTTCTGGGGCTACTCCGCCCAGGGAGCTTGCAAGTACGGATTCTACGAATACTTCAAAAAGGTAAGAAGATATAATTCCACATCGAATCTCGCATCTCAGCCCGATGAAGGAAGCCTCGTGACTAACACGCAACTCCCAAGACCTACGCCGACCTCGCGGGCCCCGACAACGCCAAAAAGTACCAGACGATTCTCTTCCTCTCCGCCTCAGCCTCCGCCGAATTCCTCGCCGACATCGCTCTGTGCCCCTTTGAGGCTGTCAAGGTCCGCATGCAGGGTGGTATCCCGTCCCCCTATAAGGGCACTCTCGACGGCATCAGCAAGGTCACGGCTAAGGAAGGGTGGGGAGGCCTCTACAAGGGCCTGTACCCGCTCTGGGGCCGACAGATCCCCTACACCATGATGAAGTTCGCCTCCTTCGAGACCATTGTCGAGATGATGTACGCCCGCCTCCCGGGTCAAAAGTCTGACTACAGCAAGGCCGCCCAGACGGGCGTGTCGTTTGTCAGCGGTTACCTGGCAGGTATCCTCTGCGCCATCGTCTCCCACCCAGCCGATGTCATGGTCAGCAAGCTCAACGCGAACCGCGCGCAGGGCGAGGCGTTTGGTGCGGCCATGGGCAGGATCTACAAAGACATTGGATTCTCTGGCCTCTGGAACGGTCTGCCTGTCCGTATCGTCATGATTGGTACCCTGACCGGCCTGCAGTGGATGATCTACGTGAGTGGCCGTCATAATGTTATTGAAGGGAGTTGAGAACAGTGACTAACATGAGTGAACAGGACTACTTTAAGATCTTCATGGGCTTCCCCACCACCGGAGGAGCAGCTCCCCCCGCCGAGAAGAAGTAATTCAGCAGATATCATGATGGTTGGGTGAACGGAGGGTTGGGCCAGTGCAACCTGGGTTGTCCAGCTAGTATACTATGAACACTGAGGATCTCTCGAGGGAGTTCTCTTAGCTCTTACGCTATTGTAACAATGAGAGAGTCTTTTCCGCAATGACTTTTGTCTGTTTTTTTATTAATACCTCCCCGTCAAAGTCGTATATCCAGAGATCAAACTGCAGCACCGGGGAAGTTGAAAATATCACGCAAGTTGTTTTTCCTTTTTCTTCCCTGAAATTTTTTCCCGCTCTCTCACCATATCTGGGTTCGCCCTCATCGAAATTCTTTTTCCTCGGCGTCACTTGGCGTTCCATCACCGGTACGTCCGTGTATAAAAAGCGATTATTTTCCCCTTGACCTGGCTTAATTTTGGAGACGATCAAACTTGCATGGGATCCGATTTTAACGGCAAGATATAAACACCGTGCCCATATTGTAATGCGCCTGCAAAGCTGTGATGTAACTTTCAGGCATTAAAATTGTGAGAGATCTATGATGAGGACGGGGATGATTGGGGGGGGGGGGGGGCGAGGAATTTGATGGAAAGGAAGAAGAAGAAGAAGACAACCCGGGTCGGAATGGGAAAGGCCCTGGAGCAAAAGACGGGAAGCGTAGATGTTATCGATTTGAACGACACCTTGAATACAAATCAGAATACTATTCCCAAGCCTCGGTCTCCCATCTAAAGCTAATGCCGACTATCAACGACCGGACTGCGTCACCTGTCTTGGACAGCAACGGAACGAATGCCGTCTTGCTAGCACCCTCATCTTTCCAACAACGAAAAGAAAGAAATGACCCAACGTGGCCTTAGGTTTTGGCCTTCAAGTTTGAGCTTCACGTTTGGCTTTGTCTCAACGTGTCATATGAAGGATAGCATCGTGTCAAAAGGTGCCAAACCCACACGATGTGAAATAGCACAGTCAAACCAGTCAACTCAGTGCACCAGGTGATAATGCTGACCGACTTGTCAGAATAGTCATACAGGGCACTAGAAAACATTAGTTCCAACAGCAAAACGTAGTAACGAGAAAAAGGCCAGGCCCGGACGCCGGCGACGCCGGGGCGGGATACCACTCCACCTGCAGAGCGACTTAGCCGTCCGAACTTAGGCGCGGGGGACGCTCCGGCAGTCGTGCGCCGGCACCGGTAAAGGTCTCTCTGCAGTTAGATGGATAAGACTTCTGAAGCCTGACCCTCTGTGCGCGGCCTCTGAAGAGTCGAGACTGCCCGAGTCTTGCTAAGCAAAATTTAGAGCGTTGAGTCGAAGAGTAAAGAGCAATAATTCGTCATTTCACAGTGCTTGGGCGGCAGTGGGGGAAATGGCACCGAGGGATGCAGAGCATGACGTCCATGTCTTCCAGAAGTTCGTGGGAATCGGGCCGGTACGGGACCGTGTGGAGGACGCTGACCTACCAGAAAACGCCAGTGTGCTGCACATCGTGGATGATGGAGCGCGGGTGGTTCTAGACGTGGCATCTGCGAATCGGTTGGCTGCGACACCCTACCTAATGGTAGTGCCTGTTGGCCAAAGATGTCCGATGGATTAAGCCAGGTAAGCCAAGGTACGCCACGAGCGAGGCACAACGAAGATAGCTCAAGACACAATAGCTAAGTGGCGCTGACGTTGAACGTATGCCTTTCCCCTCGGCCGCACTAGCCTTCCATAAACAATGCAATGTCTCCCGAAGTTGCTTTCCGTTCGGGGGCTTTTCGTCGAAAAGTAACGAGGGGCTCTTGGGGTCCGCTCATGGATGATACCTGTTATGACTGCGGAGTTGTTGAGGAGGTGAGGGTTTGGGAGTGAGCGTTCAGGATGGGTCGTGATGGAGTGGTTTCGATCGGACATGGATGCGACGAAGGTGCAGTGAAGAAGCGAGTGGGTGTAATGCTGATTGGCAACGTTAATGGGGCATTCTGTTGGTGTCGAGCGGATATCCCCCGCATAGATGCTGGCCAGGTACAATAGCGTTCCCCATGCCTGGTGGGAGGGACATACTGGAGCAAGGGGGAGCGAACAGCAGCAGATCGACAGAGCTTTGCTCCACTGCTGTGTTTGTGAAAAGACTCGGCGTGTGTCGGAGGGGAAAGACGAGAGGCATGTCTTAAGATGGACCGAATAAGCACGGGAGGTGAGTTGACGAATGAGCTCGGGTCCAGCAGCGTGGATGAAGGTGACAACGGCGTCGTCCCCCGTCCAGCTAGACACGGAATCGGACCAGTAGCGTCGAGCCGTCGATCCTCTCACACCAACCGCGATGCAACAATGTCTTTCGGGGTGGCTGCACCGCACCAAGGGATCCAACACGGCGGAGAGGCATGTGTACATAGGGGTTTTTGAGGTAGTCGTTTGTGGCCCTGGCCTGGCATGACGGGTCAACCAGCTGTTCATTGGCGCTCGTTCTCGCCCGTTGTTGTGAATCTGCCATCTTCAGGTAAGGCGGGTTACGTTGCGTTGGAGTGTAATTCGCAACTCGCAACCTGTGTAAGAGAGAGAGGGGTCATGTCTGGGTTACCTACCGAGCCGCTCCTGTGCGAGTCGCATGCTGTTGCGGCAAGGCCTCGAAGCATGGAACGAGGAGCCGGAAAAAAAAAAAAGAAACGCTACAGGGACTCTGGCAGTTCATCAGGCCAAGGTTGCTGGCTGTGTCAAGAGGAGGTTGCAGAAAGCCTGTCCTGGACGATGTCCGTCTCATCGATCGTCGAGAAGACGGCAGTCTGCAACACCAACGACTCAGGAAGAACGCCTCTTTTTCCGGGGTGCGGGGACAAATTCAGACTTGAAGTCGGCAGCTAAGGCGTTGTAGTTTGTAGACTATGGGCAGATGTGTAAGCCGTCGGGTGCTTTTTCCCACCAAATAAAAGGCCTTGGAGAGCGCCCTCATCCCCGATTGAGCAACCGGCGTTTGAGGGGCAACAAAACTTCGGTTGGTCTAGGGCGGCTAGGTTTGATGGGTAGAAAGCAAGAGACTGACTAACAATGACTGAATTAACAATGCGCTGCCCGGTTACCCTTGAGACTGGATGTTTGGGTGTTTGGACGGATAGTTCAGCAGGGTTCCAGATACTCTTCGTGACCACACGACTTCGGAGACATGCCGGGAAGGGATAGTCGGGCCTGACAAGCCATGTTCGTACCCGAAGCGCCTGTGTTCGGAGCTGTCTGGTTTGGACATTATTGGCAGCTAGGCCGAGCGACTTCCGGCCCCCACGTAGCGTGTATACCTCGGGTGCTGCTGTGCCGCAGGCCGCCGAAGGGGCTCGGATACAAGAAAGCGAATGAGTTGCTGAGGCCGTGTCGGCGATGGTGACGGGCGGTCGTCTGTTGTTCAGAATTAGGGGTCGTGATCTATTGACAACTTGACGTGCAAAGTCTAAGCAAAACGGCATGTTGAGCGCAGATCCTCGCCAGCGGCGGTCGTTGGATCGAAAACGGGAGCTGTTATGTAGCAGCAGGCCTCCAGGCTGGAGGACGTCAATATCGGGACCCAATCAAGGGCGCGTTGTACGTGAGGGTGCCATCAACAATCTTGAAACCTAGGACAGCAGCCGGGCGAGACAGATGAAGGAAGCAGGATGTCTACTGTGTACTGCGTAGGTGAGGGTGAGGGTCAGGCCGATAGCGAGCGCTACGAATAGACAAAGCTGGACAGGCAGAACGGACGAGACCAGGAAAGAGGACCCAACGGCCAGCCAAGGGTAGCGTTCCAGCGGACCGTCGTGTCGGGGCGTAGCAGGCGTGGCGGACAGGTAACGATGAGGGCGACGGGGTTCCTCTGGTGGTTCTTCCGGGTCGGGTGAGGATGCGGCCTTTTGTCTCACAGTTCAGATAATCAGTCCGCTGGTGGCGTTGTTCCCACAGCGAGTTGAACAGTGGTGGGTGAGGTAAGCGGAGAAGTATTCCGGGCTCATGTATGTAGGTATCGTATTTCCATCATAAGGGTGCGTGGAGGTACAGGGATCGTTTTGAACCGTCTCGATACACGGGCGGTCGTATTGATTCCCATTTCCTGCCCATTGTCTACCTACTCCGCCGGAAGCTGAATGGCGGATGGGCGCTGGGTGTATTCTGTACAGTGGAGAGTACGGATAGGTACGCCAGAGAGAACCCGACAAGCAGGATGCTGGGTGCTGGGCGAACCGTGATCGAATCGACAGGGACCTTGCCGTACATAGCCCCTGGCCGTCCTGGTGTCTGGTCGCCAGTGGGTCAAAGTGCGGAGAGCGAGGGTGCTCACATGGCAGGCTGTTGAGTGCTCCGTGCCTTGGTGTTGGTCAGCAAGGCGGTTGGGCGTCACGGACGAGTTGGTGGAAACTGGGCAAGGATGGAAAGGACCACTTGAAAGGTACTTTCAACGCTATCAGAAACAGCCTCTCGTGAGAGTACTAGCTAGCCGTGAGCTGTCAATGAAGGGTTCGAAGAAGAGGTCGTATCCATCTATACAGTACGTGAGCAGGAAGACCAATAACAGTCGTTATACCTCGTGATAGATAGGTAGTCCGCAGTGAGAGGAGGCTCAGGCTTGCGGATGGCTCCCGCCTGGGCAAAAAGGCTCTTGCAGCAAAGAATGCCTCGCCCTATGGTGGAACATGCTATGGAAGGGTTGTTCTGCATGCTGTTGTGTGAAAGAGGCTGAGCTTGTCTTTTGCCCAGGCTGGCTTGGCTGCGGTGTAATCGTCTTGCGTACGAAGTATATGCCATGCCAAAGTTACTCGGGGGGAGAGAGGAAGCCTGGCCAATCCGTAGTTAGATGATGCGTGCTGGCGTCCTGCAGAACATTGCTCTATCCCACCATGTCCAGGTCGGGTCATGCTAGGGGAAGAGACGCGGCTGGCGAACAGTACGTCGCATGTCTCAGTTCAGGGGGAGCATTCCGGGGTCATTATCGAGTTGCCAGAGAGACAAGACGGATGTGGAAGTCAGCTGGGGACAAGTTGGACCAGGAAACATGTCGTCTGACACACAAAGTGCAGTCAGTTTCACGAAGGTGATGGAATGCAGATGTTGATGAAGACTGAAAAGAGGAGGTACGTACGGATAGGTATCGCCGGTACGTATTCGCAAGGGAAGTACCTAAGGTACCTAGAATGCTGAAGCCGACAGGACGGGCAGGAGACGACAACCTAGAGACAGCCGTCGGTCGCAATCGGGTAAAGTGTTAGTGTCGCCAGTCACATTGGAGTCGCAGTGGCAGGCAGTTTCCCCCTCCCACCTGCTATTCGCCTCGTTGTTTGGAAGCGTCGCCAGGAACACCCAGCCCTTCATCCTCGCCTCTTCGCACCTAACCTTCAGCCTTGATTCATTGACAACGTTGGTTGCGCGCTGTCTCTCACCTGGGCTTGACGACGGTCAGAAACCGAGCCCGGCAGGTGTGAGAGCAGTGCACTTTAGAGAGGGGAAGAAGAAGAAGAGAGATAGCGTCATATCGGCCGTTATCTCCGTCCGTCGTCCGTGGGCTCAGTTTTGTCGGGTCTACCTTACCGTGTGTCAACCTGCCAATCCGTAAGTCCACCTACCTAAGGAATATGCGATCCACTCGCAGTCCACCAAGGGCTAACAGTACGTATCTTGAGTAATGTGCGACTGAGGTGTGGTCCTGCCTTTTTCTTGCCTTCCTCTCTTCTTCTCTTTCTGCCTTGAAGCCTTCGTACCTTCGTCTTCGTGCCTTGGTCGCATCACGGGTCTCCAACCTCTTCCAATTGCTGCCCGCCATCAGTACCCAAGGTACGTATGTGGGTACGTAGTTATGGTAAGGTATTCGTACCTACCTACCTACCAGGTAAGGTAGTGCATCCGTAAGGTCAGAAAAGGACTTACAAGTCTTCTTCTGGAGGCATCCTTTTATCCGTCCTCGTCACTTTTCTCCTCATTCCTCCGCTTCTCCCCCAATCGCTTATCCAAAAGTGACAAAGTACCCCGTACCTACCTCACCACTGACCACCAGCAAGAGGAAAAACCAAAAGAAGAAGAAGAAAATACTTACTCCTCCGTCTGGGAAGCAAAAAGACGCCAAACTTGCTCCAGCCTCTCCATGCCCACCCCTGGTCGGAAACCCCATGTCTGGCCTGTCTAGCCCTGCACTCGAGAACGAACTAGCCCCCTTTCTGTGCACTGCAACCCTTCGATTCCTTCCACCGACCTCCACCTTCCCTCCACTGACACCGTCAGGTTGTGGGTTGTCCAGGTGGGGCCCCCTCGTCCTCGGTGTCCTCCCCACCACTCGCAGTCAGCCATTAACAAAAGTCACCTTCTTTTCCGTATGTACTTGCGTACCACCACTTGCAGTAGTCGCTCCCGGCGCCGTGTGTCCATGGTCTCCTCCGTACCTTAGCTCGCAATGAAGTTCGCAGACTCCCGTCACTCAGGTCTCCTGCGAATGCAGTACACTAGGTAAGTATCCATAAGGTACGGCTCTGGCCTGTTGCCTGCCCTACTGGCTGAGAGTGAGAGGTGCAGCAAGCCCTGTCACCCATCGTCTGCCCGTCTGTCTGTCGCTGTCGCGTCCTGCCACTACGTGCCCAATCCAGGCTCTCCAACCCACAACCTCGCCTCCATCCTCCTTGTTACTTACGCCTATCAACCCCAGGACCCCAAGTCTAACGTCCAAATCCCGCCCAGGGCTCCTCCGTCTTTTACCTTGTTCTCACCCACCCAGCTGCTAGGTACCGCAGACTACGCCTCTTACCAATCCTCCCTTCCTCTTCTTCATCCACTTCCCACATTGTCCCTCATCATCATCATCCTACTCCTCCTCTTTCTGCTGCCAACACGGCTGGTTTGAGAGTCTGCGTCCTGGCAAATGCTGCTTCCACCACCGTTGCCCGCATCCAATCTTCCCTGACACCTCTCGTCCCTCTCTCTTCCCACCCTGCTTCCACAGACCACCCGTATCTTCGGCCGAATCACCGAGGGAAACGACCCCTACTCCTCTGCACCACAATCGCGCGCATCTCTCGAATCTCCTCGGATACACGATAATACCTCTCTCCGCACCTTTTCCACTGCGTATTCTTCATCACGACGTCAATTGTCCATCGCATGGTACATTTCGCCATATTTGCGCGGCCGCCGTGAGCTTGTCTCGCCCAGACATCACCCTTCAAGCCAAATCCACGACCCCAAGTCGCCAACATGGCTGGTTTCTTCAACAAACTGAAGAGCGCGGGCAATGTGCGTTTCCTCTACTCTCGTCATTTCTTTGACTACGCTCTGCTCATTGCGTGCTCTGAAATTCTCTTTCTTCTCTGCTGTGCTTTTGCTGTTGCTGCTGCTCGCGCGTTCTTCAGGCTGACAGACCTCGTCCTTCACAGACCACCTCGAGTCCAACAAGTAAAGATGTCCCGAGCAAAAAGGTCAAGGAGGAGCCAGCACCGGAGCTCACTCCTCTGGAAAAGATGCTGCAAAATGCTGGTCCATTGAGGGAAGACGGGACTGACAAGTTCTTCGGTCTGGAGAATGTAAGTTTTCGAAGCCACACCCGGCCTAGCGACTGCCTTCCCGAGACAACGAATGCTGACTGAACTGGTAGTTTGGTAATACTTGGTAAGCGATGCTATCATCACCACATCGTCTCTCATTTGCTGACGTGTCTGTAGTTATTGCAACTCGATTGTTCAAGCATTGTTCTATTCAGAATCCTTCCGAGACCACGTCGTCAAGTACCCCACACTATCACCTACCGATACCCCGAACGGAACTCGACCAAAGGTGAATGTGACGATCCGACCGCCAGTCGCGAAAGAGCCCCCGAATACGCCCGGAGCGAAACAGAAAGGCCTGAGTGCATCGGAATCAATGAAGCGCAGGCAGGCCATCACAGCGGGAATGCCACCTCCAGGAGCGCCGGGCATACGACCTGAGGATAAACCTGATTCGCCAGAGTACAAGAAGAAACATGCCATGATCAAGGGCCCCATCCTCGAGCTGGCACAAGAGAATCCCTCCGCTTACGGCATGGAAGAATGCACCTTCACCGGTCTCAAGGACATCTTTCAGGCCCTTATCGAGAGCAATACTAGGACAGGCGTGTTGAGTCCACAGCGATTCCTGGAAATTTTCAAACGAGACAACGAGATGTTTCGGAACTCAATGCACCAGGATGCTCACGAGTTCTACGGTCTCGTATTGAACGATGTCATCTCCAACGTGGAAGCGAATGCCAAACGAATTCAAGAGCGACAGGCCGAGAACAAAGACGGACTTATTCAGTCAGTGGAGAACGCTCTTGGCGCGACTAGTTTGATAAACCGACCAGTGAATGGCGTGGGATCCCCAGGAACCGGCTGGGTTCATGATATCTTTGAGGGTGTATTGACCTCGGAAACCAAATGTTTGACCTGCGAAACAGCTTCGCAAAGAGATGAGACGTTCCTGGACTTGTCCATCGACCTGGAGGAGCATTCATCAGTCACGTCTTGCCTGCGTAAATTTTCCGCCGAGGAGATGTTGTGTGAGCGCAACAAATTCCACTGCGACCATTGTGGTGGGCTGCAAGAGGCTGAGAAGCGGATGAAGATTAAGCGTTTACCAAAGGTTCTCGCGTTGCACCTGAAACGATTCAAGTATACCGAGGATTACAGTCGACTGCAGAAGCTCTTCCACCGGGTCGTCTACCCGTACCATCTACGCATGTTCAACACCACCGACGACGCTGAAGATCCCGATCGACTCTATGAACTATACGCTGTTGTTGTTCATATTGGCGGAAACGCCTATCACGGCCACTACGTATCAGTGATCAAGACGAAAGATCGGGGTTGGGTCCTGTTCGATGACGAGATGGTGGAACCGGTTGACAAACATTTCGTGCGGAACTTCTTTGGGGATAAGCCTGGCATGGCATGCGCATATGTCCTCTTCTACCAAGAAACCACCTTTGAGAAGGTACAAGCTGAGATGGAGGCCGAGGGTCTGGAAGAGGTCAAAATTGCCAGCGAGGCCGCTAATGTTGCTCATGAACATGGCCAACCAAACGGTACGACACCACTTTCGAAACAGTTTACGCAGCCAGTCAGTCCCATTGAGGAACGAGAGCCGTTGCCCAGCCTGGCACATGCACAAACAGCCCCAGGCAAGGTGGATGTTCCGCCATCCGAGAAGCTTCATACCCCTGTGATAGATACACCGGCCACTCCTGCTGTCCCCCCTATTCCATCAAGCCTCGCCAGATCAAACACGGGCGCCAAGGCAGACAAGTCCAAAGAAGACAAGAAGCGGGAGAAGAAGGAGCAGGAGGCAGCGGACAAGGCCAGAAAACAAGCTGAGAAAGAGCAGGAAAAGCTCAAAGACAAGGAACACCGAGAGAGTATGGCTAGGGCCAGAACGGCTCATGCACGAGAAGCAGAAGATATGCGCAGAGCAATCAAGGCCAGCATGCAATCGGCTGAAGGAGACAAGAAGAAGGAGTCGTCAAGCTCAGGCAGTTTCCTCAACCGATCCAGCCGGGCAAGCAAATCAATGAGCAGGAAGAGTTTCGGATTCCTCAGCAAAGATAAGGACAAGGCTGAATCACATCAGTCATCTGAGAATGGGCATGCTACTCCAGAGGGGGTGCCGACTCAACCTGAGAAGCCCAAAGAACTGAGGGAGAGATTCAGTTTCAACCTCGGCCGGAAGAAGAGCGGTAATCTTCTGTCATGAGGTGGCGCATGAGGTTCTAACGATTCATCTGAAGATTTTGGTATTTGACAGTACATACAGCAAAAAAAGGGGTGAAGAGCAGGATCCTGTACGATGTACAACCCACGCGCCCAGCGTTTGGTGCGCATCTTATCCATCGGCCGCATGGTTGTTTAGGGGATTGAGGAGGTGGCGGCATGCGCAGATACCCAGGCATGGAGTGGTTTGCTTGGATAATACTTTTCTCACTTAATGATGCAAAAGAGGATACGTTGTGATGAAGGCATCTTGAGCGTTAGTTACTTTCTCCTGGCACCTACTTCATCGGACTGTATGATAGCGCAAGGTGTGGTCAACAAAAGACGGTACAAAGCACGTAAGGGCAGAAAGGCTCTCTCGAGTTCTACTACTCGGTTTGAAACAACGCAAGCATCCTCCTCTGCTGATTGTGATATTACACTCGCCGGGCTTTGCAATGTTACCCGGACATTTTCAGTTAAGATACACATACGTACGTGACATTGACAGCCAAAACCCCATCCGCTCTCCATCCTTCAACGCCGATTCGTTACCATGATGCCATGCCGTGGAAGTGGAAAAGTTCAAGCCATATACGATGCATTAAAGAGCAGCAGCCCCCTTCGTTTTTCTTGTATCTTCCTATCTCATCTCCTGTACCCTAACGACACCTTATCCGAGGATGAGTTCGTACAGAATGATAATGGTGTTGATTCCGATCAAGGGTACTGTGGCAGAGCGTCAGTAAAGGGCGTTTCTGTGTGGAAGTACTCATACAATGAGAGACGGATGTTGGGGATGTAGACACGTACTTCTCATCAGTGTCCGTACGCTGGCGATCAAGTTGATAATCTTTGCCTTTACGCTTGCGTCGTTGCTCGAGCCAAAGGTCGGGTCGTAGGAGGAGGGGGAGAGGTTGACTGGAAGGAAGTCGCGGTTAGCTATTGTAATGTCTCTTTCTCCCGGAGGGGTAAGGGCGCAGGGCGGCAATGTTGCTGGGTAGGATTAGGCGGGGACGTACTGCGCGCGAGGAAGCGGTCTTCGGAGAGGACTGCGATGGCGTTGATGAGGAGGACGGCGACTGGGAGGAGAAGAGGAGGAATGTCAGTATAGGCGGGAAAGCTTCGAGGGGGGGGGGGGCAAATGGTTTAGGGCGGACGTACTGTAGAGGAAGTTTCCCAGGATATACATCTTGACGGTTTTGATGTCGGCTTGGGGAAGCCCTGGACGCGCAAAATGCGGGTTTGGTATTGTTGTGTCCTTTCCGCGGGTAGAGCTTGTAGGAAGGTGGGTTTTTAGCTCTTCGTCGTTCGAATTGAAGCCAGGTGGTGATGGTGTTGCGCTGCGCTGTCCAGAGCTTACCTTAGGAGGGATGGGATGCGCCGTCAGAGGTGGGGAGGCGTATTTGATCCGTTCCGAAGGAGAATCCCTGCAATAGGTGCCCCGTAACTTAGGTGGCCTGTCACTCTGCCGCGGCATGGCTGACCCCTAAGTTCCTAGTAGACAGCTTGCATTGAGTGGTGCTGGCGCTGGGCTGTGCACGGACGCTCAGAGCTTCACCCTTTCAATGGCATTTGGATCTGCACGAGACGCCAGCTTACACCTGCTTCAAGTGAAAAAGAGCGGAAATCGTGAGAAGCAGAAAATCGAGGGTCATATGAGGCAAGGGAAAAGCACAGGGCAAATTGTTTCAAAAACCTCATCTTCTCGTTGTTCAACCCCATCTTTTGTTTTTTCGCTTCTTCACCGGGGCTTTCCTGTTCTCTGTGTATCTTCCAACAATGAGATAGTCACACCCGACAACACGCTCCTTCACCTGCTTAACAACCACATCTCACAGCTTCTGCGCCTCCTTGCCGGCACCATCACAATGAAGCTCCTAGGTAACCCAAACATGAACACCCCCAATTTCTCATCACAACTCATAAAAGATACTAATCAGTCACTCAGATACCGCCCTTCTGGGTCTCATCCCAGCCCTCATCACCCTCCACCTCCTCCTGGCCCCGGACACAAAAGTAGAGGAATCCTTCAACATCCAAGCCACCCACGACGTCCTCGTCTACGGCACGCCAACCCACGGCGTCGCCGCCCGTCTGAGGGCCACCTACGACCACTTTGAGTTCCCCGGCGCCGTGCCCCGCACTTTTGTCGGCCCCGTGCTGCTCGCCGGCCTCGGCGGGCCCCTCGTCAACCTCGTCGGCTTCGCCCACGCCCAGCTCGTCGTCCGCGGCTTGCTGGGCCTCGCCAACGCCGCCGCCCTCGTCGTGTTTGCGAGGAGCCTGAGAAAGGGCATGGGCGAGGGCGTCATGCGGTGGTGGGTTCTGTTGCTCGTCGGCCAGTTCCACGTCATCTTTTATGCGTCGAGGACGTTACCCAACATGTTTGCCTTTGCTTTAAGTGAGTTCTCATGTCTTCTAACCCCCTTTTTCTTTGCCTCCTCACAAAATCCAACATTCTAATGAAACCCTTCACAGCAACCCTCGCATCCGCAAACCTCCTCCCAAACCAATCCCCGCAATCCCGCCTCCCGCGCCTCCGCGTAGCCCTCTCCCTGCTCGTCTTCGCCGCCGCAATCTTCCGCTCCGAAGTCGCCCTCCTCCTCGCCACGACGGGCCTCCACCTCCTCCTCACCCGCCAGCTCACGATCCCCCAACTCGTCCGCCCCTTCCTCATCGCCTTCGCCGTCGCCCTCGCCGTCTCCGTGCCCCTGGACTCGTACTTTTGGCAAAAGCCCCTCTGGCCAGAGCTCTGGGGCTTCTACTACAACGCCGTCCTCGGCTCCTCGTCAAACTGGGGCGTCTCCCCCTGGCACTACTACTTCTCCTCCGCCCTCCCGCGCCTGCTCGTCAACCCCCTGACCTTCACCCTCCTGATCCCGCTCGCCCTCGCGCAGCCCGGCGCCTCCCGCTCCGCCGCGGGCCTCGCCGTCCCGCCCCTGCTCTTCGTGGCCATCTACTCCCTCCAGCCGCACAAGGAAGCCCGCTTCATCTTCTACGCCGTCCCGCCCCTGACCGCCGCCGCCGCCCAGGGCGCACACTTCATCTTCACCCGGCGCGCCAAATCCGCCCTCTACGCGCTCGCCTCCCTCCTCCTCGCCACCAGCGTCCTCGCCGCCCTCGCCGCCTCGACGGGCATGCTCCTCCTCTCCTCCCTAAACTATCCCGGCGGCGACGCCCTCCGCCAGCTGCACGCCCTCGTCGCCGCGTCCCCCGCCGCCAGCTCCGTCACGACCGTCCACACCGACGTGCTGAGCTGCATGACGGGCGTCACCCTCTTCACCCAGAACCGCGTCGGCCTGCCAAAGAACCCGCACTCCCGCGCCCTCGAGACCTCTCTCCAACAACAAGACTCCTCATCATCATCATCACCATCAGGCACGGATCCGATCCTCGCATTTGATAAAACAGAAGACAAGTCCATCCTCTCCGACCCGGGCTTCTGGTCTCGCTTCGACTACGTCCTCGCCGAGGACACGGCCTCCGTAAAGGGAGGGCAGTGGGAGACGGTGGGCGTCGTGCAAGGGTACGCCGGCATCGAGGTTCTCAAGCCGGGTTCCGCTACCTCGTCCGGAGAAGGGGACGAAGAGACGGGGGAAAGCAAGATCCTCGGCAGAGGACTCGTTGTCAAACGCGTACGGGATTTCGTACAGGGCGTGACGGGCGGCTGGTGGGTTGGGCCACGGATGGAGCCGCGGATACGCATCATGAAGCGGGCCAAGGATGTCGGTGGCGCCGGTGCCCGTATCGTGTCTTCATAGATGGGTTGTCTTTCTAGATGGATAGTGTGTAAGAATACAAAAAGAACGCATCAGTGTCAGATTGTCCCAGATCACTTGGACGAAAATCACTTGTACGAAGGAAAGGAAGGGCATAAGCTTCGAGTTGATGGGAGACAACACGAGGTATTTCAATCGTTTCATACGCCGAGCGGTGTGCTCCGGCTTTGTGGCACTAAGACAAGAGCAGACACTATCCTACCACAAAAGGCCAACCAGTGCAAGCAAGGCCTCGTTTCCTCTCTTTCCAACACCAACAACTACCGCGACTACTGCCAATGCCAATGCCAATGCCACTGTGTCACCGACCAACCCTTCCGCAGTCCCAAAATCACTACGCACTTTTACTGTTTTCAATCCATGCCAGCACTCAGTCCGGCCCGGTCCCAAACCGCCCCCTGCCCTATCCTATCCACCGCCTTTACCTCCATCCAACACACCTTCCACGACCAGCCGGTCGGAGCAGCTCACTAGCCCAAGCCCTGGGTAACCCAACTTGCTGAAGTAATGACAATCGGAAAGCAGTTTGGGTCAAAACTGCGACTCGCTAAAATTGTCTGGGTGTCGTAATCGCATGATACAGTAATGGAATATGTATATAAGAGGCGCCTTGTTCTCCCCCCCTGAAAGAAACGGGTATTCAGGTATTGTTGTTGTTGTTCTCGATGTTATTGTTGTTGCCTTAGTGGTAGACGGGATGCTGTCTCGCGTCGTAGGTATACTATATGAGGTCGCAGTAAGGGAATCATGAAATGAACGCTCGCTACGCTTCTCTCATTCCGTTTCGCTCCCGTCGTCTTCAGTGTCGTTCAACTCGCCGTACAACGCCTTGTACCGTGCTAGCTCGGCCATCTGCTTGGCAACCTGGTCAAGGATGTCACTCATGGGACCTCGCATGTCCTCGAGTTGTTGCAGTGGAGCGCTGCCGAAGGCAATGTGACGAAGCGACAAACTCGTCACGCACGTCTGTCAATCGATTAGCCAAGACCCTTCACAAATCAAGTACTGCATCAGGACGTACCTCTATTCTGCTCACTTGATGCTCCATGAAGTTGAGCAGGAATCGTTCCGTGACCTCACCTCCTCGGTGTTTCATTCTCTCCAACAACTCTGTTTCGGGTGGCTGTAAGCCCTGGCCAGAGACATTTTCTAGAGAGCTGCACAGCATCTCCAGCCGCAAGCTGACACGCCACAAAGCCCAGATTGATTCCGTGTCGAAAGCCAACTCGCTGCCTGCCTGGAGAATGGCGGGTTTGTCGACCTCGGTCCGTTGTTCGTGTTGTTGATGATGCTCGATACGGCCTGCAAGTGCATGTGGGTACAAGGAGTATACGACTTCTGGGTTCTCAAGGCCTTTGAGCTTCTTCTCACCCATTTCCTTGACCTCAAAGCCCTGGGAGCTGAGAGAGCGCAGGTCTTTCCGAATTGCCGAACCCATCTGGTCGTCGTCAAAGGTATCTTCGGATCCAGTCGATCCGTTTCTGTCTGTGTCCTGATAGTTCTCCAGACAGCGCTGAATCTCTGAAATGAAATCAGAGGAAACGGTGATTTGTCCACCGTCAGCAACGGACGAGATACGAGAAGCTTTGTTGACCATTGGACCAAAGTAATCCATACGTCTCGTGACAGGGTCCATCTCACTAACCGCTTCACCAAAGTGAATGCCCATACGTACAGAAAGACCCTTGAAGATCAGGGCATTATCCTTGTCGTAAAGTGCCTGGCAGGAAACGGAGTTGATTACTTCGGAAGGCCAATTGACATCCAGCAACGACATCTGAACAGCAAAACACCAGAGAAGCGCCGATGTGGCTGTCGGGAAAGAGACCATGAAAGCATCTCCTTCAGTCTTCACTTCGTATCCACCAATTCTTCGCAGCTGCCGACGCATAACCTCGTTATGCAGCTTGATTGCAGATCTCATGGCAGCGGGGTACATCTCCCATAGAGTAGTCGAGTTCTTGATATCAGTGAAGGCTATGGAGACGTTGCCTGTCGGGGCTGGAATCTCAGCCTCAAGACGTTGTAGACTTGAGTCGAGAACGTCGGCCTTGTTCCTCTTGCCTCTGCGCATGGGCTGCTGAAGATCTTCCGGTACGCCTGAGGGGTACAGAGACATACTCTGACCACGATGAAGCCTTGACCGTTCAACCCGCCTCTTAAGGTCGGCAACGCTCATCATCATGACCATGATCTTGTTGGTGGCGCCATAGGCAATGGCTAAATCGCGAAGCTTCTGCGATGCTCTCATTAAGTCACCGCGCTCCTGCCTTGCAAAGTCAACCACCAGAGCGGGATCCAGGTACTCCCAGAACTCTCTGGTGGCAATCAGGATTATGTCGTCCTGCTCGCGGATCGTGAAGTTGCTGACATAGGGAGCGGCTTGCACCGCTGGCATCAGGTCTACGTATCCGAAGGCCCTGGAAACCTCGAGCAGGTCGTTCAATCTGCCGTTGCGCGAGACCCAGCCACCAGCCTCACGAATCCGTTGGCGCTCGCTTGGTTCTGCTGGGTCGTGCTTTTGCGTGAGGATCTTGTGAGAGCCATCGGTCTGAATCAGCATGGCCTGCGCATCGCCCACATTGGCGACATAAAGCTCAGTGTTTTGAAGATAGACCACAGTGGCAACACCACCAGAGTTAAGGTCCTCCTTGCTCAACACGACTGGCGTTGCAGAGCCTCTATGCGTCTTTTGCGAGCGCTCTTCGGTGTGCTGGATGGCGATGGTGACGAGATCCTTGTTGAGAGACAAGAAAGCCCGCCTCAGGGCATCCGATGGTGTCTCATTGAGATGCGTCTTGAGGCCCTTCAACTCCATGCCAAAGATGTGGCCAAAGTTCTCATGCAGATACTTTGCAATCTTGGAGCCTCCACTGGAGAGAGCCTGTCCGTCAAACAAGCCAAGTAAAGTCTCAGTCTCTGTGGAGTTGTATCGAGGCACCACGAGATCGATGGTGGACAAGTGCTCATTTTTGCCCAGCGTGTCGGCCATACCATAGGGAAGATGGCCGGCAAGAGAACCAGACGTCCGCACGCGGCGATCCTCACTCTGATCGGGAATCGTGGGCTGTGTGAGGGTGACATCCATGAGACCCAAGACCCTCAGATTCGAAAGCCTGTTAAAGTCGGCGAGCGATTCTCGGTTTGTCACCGTCGGACCAACAGTGGTCTGTTTGATCTCCAAACGCTTGTTGCCTGAAAGATTCAGGTATCTGAGGTTGGGGTTGAGGTTCCAGTTCCAATCGTAAGGAACGTTTGAGATGTTGTATTTCAGGGAGTTGCTACCACAGTCCAAGACCGCAAGCTTCTTAGCCCTGGATATGTCGGCCGGTAGGTTGGTGAACTTGTTCCCATTGATATGCAGCACCTGCAGCAGACTGGCATCTTCGAGATCATCAGCCGGTAATGTCGTCAACTCGTTACCAGAAAGATAAAGTTCCACCATCTGGGGCCAACTCTTGATCGATCTTTGTGGCATGTCGTTAATGTAGTTCCACGACAGGTTGAGGACGCGTAGCTCGTTGAGCATCGTGATCTGGTCAAAGACTTCGTCGTCAAGCTTGTTCTCAGCCAAGTACAGGTTGCGCAGAGACCCGGCAAAAGTCGTGTAGAGTCTCGACGACAGGCTAGAGTCTTTTCTTGCGGTCGCAGATGGTGGGAGCGGTGGCACGGTGCCGGCCGATGTGGACCTAGACACCACTGACGTCTTGCGGCCACCCTTACCATAGACTGACACGACAGAACTCTTCCTATCACCACCGCCTGGTACAGGCGACGGTCCAACGCTCAGCAACGTTGATGATGAGTTCTGGCTCGGTCTCCTGGACGGATCCGGTGATTCTTCCAAGGGAGATTGGGCAATGCGCTCCATCGGGTTGGTCTTGTTCACGGCAGCTGGCGTCTGTGCTTCTTCGCCTGATGGCCGGGGTTGTCTGGAGCCCGGCTTGGGGAAGTTCTCCAAAATATTGGAAGATGCATTGAGAGTCTCGAGCTTGTTGGCCCACCACAGCTCCATTGGCAATTTCCTGATGTTGTTCCTGCGCACGTCCAACACTCTCAGCTCTGTGAGACATCCTATTGAAGGTGGAAGTTCTGCGACGTTGTTGTTGGCAATGCTGAAGTGTTCCAGCTTGCTGAGATTGCCGATGAGGGGCGGCAGGGAAACGAAGTAGTTCTTGTCCAGCACAAGACGCTCAAGGTTCAACATCATGTTAAACGTCTCGTCGATACTCGCAAGCTGGCAATGAGACAGATTCAGCATCTTCAACGTGAGAACTGGCTCGTTGATCTCGAACTTGGTGATTGGGTTAGAGTTCAATTTCAAACTCCGTATCCTGTCGAAGCTGCCGATGAACTGCGAAATACTGTTGTGGTCTGCAGAGAGAATCTCCAGCTTGGGAAGCAATGAAATGATATCGATGCTCGTAATGGCGTTGTACTTGATGTCCAACTCCCGAAGGCCCTGCAGCTCGCTGAAAGTGTCGGGTAGTGCATTTGACAGCCTGTTGTTGGTCATGACAAACTTTTCCAAGTTTCTCAGTCTTCCAATCTCGTTAGGTAGACTGCTTATCGAGTTGAAGCTCAAGTCCAGCTCGACGAGAGTCTCCACCTGGCAAAGGAACAGTGGGAACTTGTCCAAAAAGTTGGACGAGATGTTGAGGTTCCGCAAAGCCCTGTAAGCGCCAAAATACGGCGGGAGTGCCTTGAGGCGGTTATTGGCTATGTTGAGCTTGAGTATGCCCTGCAGACCGTTCAGCTCAGCGTGGTCCAGCTGTTCCAGTCGATTGTTCGACACATCGAGGTACGTCAGCTTTGCCGCCTTGCCCAAACTGGGAGGTAATCTTCGTGCTTCGTTGTTGTTGAACTTGATATCTCTCAGGTTTTGACATGACTGGATGAAGTCGCGAGGGAGATCCAATGAGAGGTTACGTGAGAGGTTGAGCGATATGATCTCAGAGGCTTTTGAGTAGAGCGAAATCGGGATGGTGATGAGATTGCGGCCAGCAAGGTCGACATGATTGAACTTTTGTATCCGTCCAAGTCCGAGATCATTTGTGACGGAGTGGAAATCGCTCTCTCTAGAGGAGAGGAACATGAATCGGCACAGATAGCTATTGTCCTCCCGACCAACGTCTTCGATTCGGTCCCGCTCCTCGTAACCGATTTGTTGCAGTAGTCGCTTCTGCATCAAGAGTGGGCGCTCGGGGGCCGCGAGCACCCGGACCAAGTCATGCTTCTTAAGAATGATGTGGTAATTCTCTAGCCCGTCCGTAGCGTAAGTCTTCTTGATAAGCTGTGATATGACATCGGTAACGCTCGCATCGAGAGCCATTGACAAAGTCGCAAATGTCCCGTCGGATCTGAAGATTCGAATGCAGTAAGGTGTCATCTTCTCGTCGGGCCGAGGCGGACTGCCAATGTCGTCAATGTCTGGCGCCTGGTACGTGGTGTCCTCTGTATTACGACGCACAGCCCAGCTGTCCGGCGCGTTCCAAGAACCATTGGGTCCAAGGACAGCATCGGTCTTCGCGGGCACTGGGGGTGGTTGTTCGACTTTTTCGGAATCGCCAATGCTGGAGAAGACACCGCTGTCCATGGGAGTCAAGGGTTGGGGCTTCGTAAGGATGCCGTCCATATCACTGAGGTTGGTGTCCAAGTGAATTCCTCCAAGCGATCCGAGGTTATTGTTCGCTCCAGGCTGCCTATCCGTCGGTCCAATCTGCTCATCCGGCTCCATAGTCCGTTGTTGCCGGCCTTTGCTCTTGGAAAACGGGAATCTGTTGTTGAACGTCTGGTTTCGTTGGTTGTACGCTGCTAGTCGAGGGTCCTGATCTGGACCAGGCTCGGTGCCCGAGAAGGCGAGCGGGAAAGTTGAGGGCGACAGCTCGGGTCTAGCGAATTCGGGACGAGATGGTTTGGTGGCCAGTGACCGAGTCGAACCGGGCAGGTCGCGTAATCTAGACGTTCCGTCATCTTTGTCCTTGTTCCGCCGTAGACGATGCAATAAGTTCCTCTTGGAATGATGCTGCGGCTGTTGCTGTTGTTGCTGCTGGCCGCTGGGTGACGTGGAGCCATCGACGGTGCCATGTCTCGAACTGAAGTAGCCGCCGCTCGGGGTCGGGCTTTGAGCGCGGGATCGATTGGAGCCGTACATGACTGTCGCTGCTGAGCCGCCGCGCTCTCTCAGATTCTGTTGAACTTGCAAGCTGGCCTGCGAATCTTCCCTGCTTACAGTCGGTCGCAGGGCCCTGCCATCATCAATGCTCCTGTTGTGTCGATGGTGGTGGCCAGGGAGATGCACGATTGAATGGCCGGAGCGGCTGGATGAGGAGGTCTTTGGTGGATTTTGCGGGTTGTTGGGATTTTCGTTGTTCATGTAACGTTCGCGGTCGGGGCCGCTCAAAATGTCTCTGACTGGGGCTTCGCCGAACCTGGCAATATCCTTGAAGCACATTTAGCAGTCTTGACTCGACACAGAGAGGCGGGTGGAAGAAGGGGTAATAAGAGATAAGATAAGGCGATGGGTTGATGCGGCGCAATTCCCGTATGCGAGATAGCGGCGCCAAGGGTGCGGATGTGCGGAATGCGGATGGGGATTGAAAAGAGGAGGGATGTTCGCAACGAAATCAATCGTGGAGAGTGGGATCAACAACAATGTAGGAAATAGCGTCTAGGTACTCACATCAGCCTCTTGGTAGAGGAATGGCACGACTTCAGGAGCCGGTACTGGGGTTCTTGGTCTTGACGAGGAAGGCGAAGCTTCTCTGTCCCGCGCATGGTCTGTCGCGTTAGAGTAGTTGCGATCTCTCGTAGGGCGGCTGTGGCTGTAGGAACGCGAGCGGTCCCTGCCAGAACTCGAATGCAAGCTGCTCTCGGAACCGTCTCGTCCAGGAAACTCCTCCCCAAAGAAACCCTGTAGTTTTTGCAATCCACCTCTTCGGATGCTCGTCTTGGAGCCCTGACTGCTCAAGGTCGTTATGCTAGCCAGAGAAGGCCTTCGTTCGTCTCCGAAGTATGCTACATCTGGCGAATCTTGGCTGCCAGAGGATTGAGGCGCAAGGCGATTTGTAGGAGCACGGAAGCCAGGCGAGAGCTGTGAGGCGACGGAGAGGTTATCGCTCGAATCGTTGTAAAAAGTAGTGTTGAGCTGGCTCTGAGGCGTGGATGCGGTGGCACCGCCGTTGGATGGCGACATCCAGGGAGCTATCTGGGAATTTGACGAGGGAGTGGCGGTGGGAGGGTTATGTTGGATGGAGGGCAGACGGCCGCCAGAAGTCTCTAGGACGGCCAGGTCTCTCCGGTAGTTGGCGAAGTCGCTCAGACGATGATCGCGATAGGACGAGGCATTGGACTTTGTTGTTCCTGGTGACAAAGCTCCGCGCGGCGCAGAGGCAAAAGTGGAAGAGGTGGGCGGGTCGGCTGGGCTCAAATCACTGATGAAAGACCTAGACGGGGGGGCGGAACGCAATGACCAGTCAGTTATGGGTGCATTCGTCAACCAAAGAAGAGGAACACGGAGGAAAAATGGAGGAGTAAGTTGTTAGTTCTGGTGGGAGAATGAGTATGTCTTGGGTGCTTGGCTTGAGAAGCTACAACTGGGCTGGACTGGAGGGGATCGAAAACAGCAGATAGCTCCACCATTGAAGCGACGACGACAAAGCTTGCCTGGGGCCGGGGCGGAGGAGGAGGAGGCGATGGGGGACGGGGGGACGGACGGGGAGGGGTGAGGTAAGGCAGGCTGCAGGGCAGGGCAGAGGCAGGGAACGTACGAGGTACGATGAGAGTGCGGATGAGGCTTGTTGGTTCAGGGTCGCCGGGCTACTGCTGGCTTGTTGCTGGAACTTTGGAGGGGAAAGTTGGGAACAGCGCCAGCCAAGGTACAACAAGATGGGTATTGGACCCGTAAGAAGTAAGGTATCCGTAGTGTGCAAGAGACGAGTGGAGGGGAAGGGGGCAAGACAAGACAAGAGAAATGTTGCAATGCAATGCGCACACCAAGGCAATACGGGCAAAGTAGCAGACTGGAATCAGCCCAGTAGCAGCATCTAGGTAGCAGGGCAGAAAAAAAGGATCAAGACAAGCACAAGCACGACCACAAGCTGGCGACACCTCAGTCCCCAGTCCTTAGTCCTCAGTCCTCAGCTACGAATAGTACCGGTGCGAATAGTTGAGAACTTCAGAGAGTCCTTGGACCTATTCCGTTCCATAGACACTATTCGTACACCAGCTGTGTCTCGACTGGGGCTGGGACTGGGTTTCGGGACGCCGCCGCGACACGCAGGGAAAAAAGCTGCGGGACGACAACCTGAACCAACGAGTGGCAGGGAACAGCGGCCATGGGCAGCAGAGACAGAGACAGAGACAGACAGTGAGGAGGGGACCAGGAAAGAGAATGAGCGCCGGGACCACTTCACGACTCAAACAACCCACTTGCGGCTTGCGGCTCGCCCACGCAATACCTGGGTGGGAGGCGCAATGAGTGTGAGTGTATGGAATCAAGGTGTGAAGTGAACCCCGGCGTCGGATTTGAGAGCTGAGTGGTCTCACTCTCACTCTCACCATCGTTTCTCACTCCCACTCTCACTCTGTTTTCCTCCATGAGTCGTCTCCTTTGGGGGTACGGTGCTGTCCACAAGGTAAAGGAAGTGGGATAGGAATTGTGTTTTGTGTGTGTGCGTGAGTGCTTGATGATTGATTGATCGACTAGGGGTTATGGGGAACGGACCGGGACAGGCACACAGGGCCAAACATTAGGAAGAACATGACACTCACTTGTCTGCGAGGGATCCATTGCTATTGCCAATGCCAGTGCCAGCGCCAGTGCCAGCGCCAGCGCCATTGCCCTCCGTCTTGAGGCGCATGGACGACTTGCGCGATGCTGGGACGGGGTTGCTGGAGGGTCTCACGGTGGCCGATGATCGGGTGCTGTCGGTACTGGTGCTCGTGAGAGAGCTGAAGCGGGAGCCGGCCTCATTCCTCGTCATTGTCGCCAGGCCGTCGCGAGAGGGCGCAGAGCCATGTCATTCCCGAGAAACAAGGTTGAGAGAAACAGAGGGGACCGGCACCCAGCAAGGCACGCTATTGCTGGTAGAGCAGTACCTACTCCGTCTCCGTAGGCGGGCACGGAATAGGATACGTACGTTAAACGCGTGATGGACGAAAGCGTGAGTTGTGGGCACTGGGCGGTATCCGTAAGTTGGGCCTAGCGGGCACGCGGGTAATCGACGACGAGGGTGGAGTGGGCAGTAATCGTAATCGATATTTGCGAGTGGGTTTTACGAATGCCCGTGGTGTACTCCGTAGATGAGGTGTGTGGAACAGAACGCGGGCGGCGAATGCGTTTGCGACTTTTGCGCACTTCCAGTTTTCAATGGAGAAAGTAAGCAATCCGGCGGGACGAGAAGCGGGGAGGGCTGCCGTCCAAGTTGACGATCCGGTTCTAGTGTATGTACGGATAGGATATTCGTACGATGGCAAGGTAGAAGGACAGGCACGAAAACAGCTCGAGGGCGACAAACTCCAGAGTCCAAGAGAGGGGTCGAGGCCGTTCTGAGAATGAGGTGGGCCGACAGAGACAGAGGCTCCGAGTAAGGTATGTAGAGATGAATACGTTTAGGTGGCGGCCAGGTGGAATGGAAAAAGGAATTGGAACGGCGGCAGGACAGGAGGTATGTTTTGTCGTCAAAAGGAGGCTGTTTTTGCAGTCCGGTCGCATCTGCTGATGTCAGTTGTGGTGCAAAGAGGCGAAGAAGAATGAAGCTGCGTGACAGCGAGAATAGCGAGGTAATGTAAGGTGGTAAGGTAGGGCCGAAAAGTGAGAGGTAACTGCTGCTGCTGCTGCTGCTGCTCTTGCTGTCACTGGTGTATGCAAGTGGTGTCCAGGCAATGAAAGTATGAGGTACTTGGGTAGTTTTGTACGACGGACAAATGAGAGCTCCATGCAATGGGTGAGGCAAGGTGCCTTGAGGTGAGGTGAGTGAGAGGTGAGAAGGTACTGATCAGGTAGCTCGACCCAATGGAAACTAAGGTGAGTTGCGTGGTGTGCAGACTGCAGAGTGCTGGTGTACGGAGATGTGGTGGCGTGCAGCGTGTGATGCGGGCGGCAGAGTAGGTACCTATCCCCCGCGCTCTGTGTTGGCGGTGCTGGGTTCCAATGGACTGGTGGAAGAGGATGCCCTCGATGAGAGGCTTCGCTGTTCGGTATGGATGTCTACCTTTTCTCACAATTTCCCAAGTCATGTTGCAGTCATTTGTTTCTGCATTTTCGCAATCATGAATTGCAAGGCGTGTATACCCAAAGTAGTGCTTACTACGCCGAGATACTTTGCAGAATAATCAGTCGTGCCTGCCTCGAATTGCAAGATGCCCTGGATAAAGCATATTCCCATGTACATACTGCGTATTGACACACGTGGAAGGTTCCAAAGGTCCCAAGGTACTTCACGATGTCCAAGGTAGGTGCCAAGTCAGGGAAGGTGGGTGGCTTCTTACTTAACCTTTGGGTAAGGCGAGGGAGGCACCGAGTGACCAATGGTCTGTTCCCGTCCCATTTCAATCCCAATGCCTTCCGTCCGTACAACCACAATGTGACAATACCAGGTACAACCGTGACGTCCATAAGAAACATCGTCGTTCAATCAGGTCTTTGAATGCAACTTGTGTCCCTATCCCGTATTCTTACCATGGGGTATGAGGGCCGTGTTTGAAAGAAGCACCAACATTTCATGTTTCAATCCCAGGAAACCCTGTCACCGCCAGCATAGACACAAAACCTCAATTTAGTGTGCCTATCTTGACGCGGTACGGAGTCCTTCGTGCAAGGTAATGTGGGAGGTGCCTCGATGCCTACCTTACACAACAGAGTACCTTACTTCACTAGCAGGTGGATGTGGGCTTTTCCGGGGATTAGACCCGCTCCAGGACTCGCTTCCGTCGCTCTGCCGAAGCGTAGCGCGCTGAGGTGCGGTTGAGTGGGCGAGCGAAAGTGGGTAAGTAGTTGGCCGGGCTAGCTTCCAAGTACCTGAGTACGGATACCTACGAATAGACTTGCCAAAGTCTCAGAGATGGACCACCAGGAGTGCCGCTCAGACCGGGAAGCCTACCTATCCAAGTGAAAGAGCATCAGGAGCTTCGTACTTCCGTATGTCTTTCCCACTGTCTCTTTACGGAGTGAAGATGAACACTAAAGGTAGCGACAGGCTGGATGCTTCAAAGATAACCAACAAGTCCATATCGACATGCTCCCATCACACGTTCAGATAGGTACCTTGTACCAACCAGAGGTATGTTGTCAATGCACCAAGGCATACGTGATTTTTTTCTTCTTCTTCTGAGTCTCAAAAATTCTGCCCGGCAGAGCTTTGGTTGCCCTTGTTCCGAGGGAATCAAAGTGTTTGGTTCCCCGATACTTAGCGCGGTAAGTGTGAGTGACAATATCTTCATTTTTAGCGTCTGAGGTTCCTTGAAGCGTTCCTCCTGACTGGAGGTGAAGTGTTGGTGAGGCGCTGAGGTACTGAGAAGGTGGGGTAGCAGGTAGGAACGTGCTCACGGACCACCTGCAAAAGATGTCGGGTAGATGGTAGTGGGCAGTGCAGGGATGGCACCTGATATGGGAGAGGTGGGGCGACGGGCCATTCCATGATTGGTTTTTCCAACTGTGAGTGGCTGACATGTTTGGGGGAAGATGGAAGGTCCCCTCCCACATCATGAAGTAGGTACTTAGGTAGGTACGGACCACCGTACCTCCTCCTTCTGGGCTAGTCTGTTTGTATCTCTTAATCCGTAGTGCACCTCACCTCCTCAGGTCTGCCCACCTCAGGGCAGGTGCTAAGCGATGCTATCTCGGGACTTGCCACCTCCCGCTAATCACCTGCGACATCTCAAGTATCGTCCTATCGTCCGTTCGCATTCCACCCAACATCGTACTGCGTACACCAAGAGATGAGAGACGAGAAACGACAGCACATCTCAACATCAACCGTCCACTCGCCCTCGTCCACCTCGCAAGGAACGGACTCGCGACTTGCAACGCCAGAGCTGAACAGAGGTCAGTGTCACCGTCCCAGGTACGGGCTGGCAGGGGAACAGACTACACATTCTCAAAGAGTAATACGACTCTGACACTCGCTGCCCAATGTCATTTCCGATATTCTTCTTCCTCAGACTAGAGACCAGAGACCAGTCACTGCACTACACTATACTGCACTACGGTCCCTACGGGTAGGTCAGACCTTAGACCAGACCTCCTTCTCTCATCTCAACATGGACTTACTTCATGGGCTCATGAACCTCCGAGCACATGTATCCGAAGTGATACGGGATACGAAGCACAGAGAACGAAACACTGGCTTTCTTTCACCTTAGTCAGTTAATGTCTTCTCTCTGCTTGTTCATACCCCGATCTCAGTCTCACTTCATCTTGGCACGGCGCGGCACGCAAGGTCCAGCTTCAGAACTCCATTGCAGCGCGGCTGCTGAAGCGGCTGCTGCTGCGTTACCGTTCAGTTGCTATTATTGCTTGCTCGTTGTCACATCGTGGCGTCCCATTGCTCGACTGAACGAGTTCCCAGCTCTGGTTGGGCATCTTTGCCTCTTTTCTATTCTACCTACCTACACCAAGGTACCTCACTTGTCACCCATGTCGTATGTCCATTCCTATAGTAGACCACCCATCACCGTGTTATGCATCTGCCTTATGCTCCGACTACGGCATTGGTTCCGATCCATGTCTTGATACCTACCCCACGGCTGTCCTTCCGCGATTCATTCCCAACTCCGGCCAAGCGCCCGTCGCTGTGGGATCCGTCCAAGTTGCGAGATGACTGTCACAATCGAAGCCTCACTCACGGACATGGCTCATCTGCCAATTGGATGACAGAGTGACGACCTCATTGCTAGCTTTTTCTGTCAATATCAAATCTAAATTCCTCAAGGTTCCAACCACGGCCCCTGGCAACTCTTGTCATTCCACGGACGCAGTTCCGTTACCCTGCGGTTGGTTTAGGTTGCCTACCTTGCCTTACTGCACCTCGCTCACCCATGCAGCCACCACCTCCCACCCACAATCGTTCCCGAGTCGTTGAGCTCGCATATGAATAAACGTTCACAGCGCATCTCGTACTCGCCCACCCAACACGCACGCGCATACGCACACGCACACATGTCAGCCATGCAGCAGCCCGCGGGGCAACGCATAGGGCAGACACACCGCTGTTCACCAGCAGGGCAAGCCAGCTCAGACGCTCGTCTCATCCTGTATCCCTCCTACTGCGTACGCCTCCACGGCCTTCAACGCCGCCGCACGAGTGTCCCACGTCCCCTGGTGCTCTAGGGTTCTCCTTCTTCGCTCTCTTCCATTGCCTCCTCATCTGCCCCCTCTCAGCTGCCTGACCCTGCCTCCCCGTCCAGGCAAGTAACCTTACACATGATATCGAGCGAGCAACCTCCCTGCTTAGCCACATGTCTTCTACCACTCTACTTATTCTACGCAGCAACTCTGCTCATCTACCAAGGCTATACTTCCCAGTGGCTCCCAACCGTCGTTCACGACACTAACCATCCAGGCGTGCAAGGCCCAAACTCTATTCTCCCATCACCACCTCCAAGCGTCAATATGGCCTGATACTGACATCTTATTTGGCAGTTCGATCTCTGCATCAAGCTGCGGCTACAGCTATCTCAAACCATGACTTCTCAGTCACCCTACCCAAAGCAAAATTCATCGCTTTTGCTACTCACCTCTTACCTTGTCGCCTGTTGCCAAAGACGGTCCATTTCAACCAGTTCTACAACGAAACTCCAGCTTCCCACTCTCCGACGCCACATGTCTTGCCTATGAACAAGAAGGACTGTCGCCAGACGGCGATCAATGCGCCCTCTGGAGGGCCCTTGTTTCGTTGCTTTCGGGCCTCTCAGGACCACTTCGCCTCTCCCTTGTCTGGTCATCCATGCACGTCTTACCGTTCCTGTGTTACCATGCACACCAAAAACAGCCCGTACCTAGAGGGAGAGGCCGCGTCTGCAACCTCATTCTTATCCTCAGTAGGTACACCTCTGACACGGATCGATACTCTCGGGTTCGCCGCCATCAAAGCCGCCCCAATCTCATGATTCTAGCTGTCTGGATCATGCGAGATATGCGAAGCAAACAACCATAATGAAACAACATTATCAACGTCGACATCAAGACCATCATCACTGGGTACGTTGGAGGCATCACTGTGGTTATATGAGTTGCCTGCCACGATATGACGATGATAATCAAGCGATTACTTTACACCGGTCGACCTCTGCCCGACATGTACAGCTGAGCTGTTGACCAAGGCACGTCAAGTTGCTCTATAGTCAAAGAGTCTACAGTTCCAGGAGCAACTCGTTGCGAATGGTAAAAAAGGCCGATGTGGCTTTCGTAGGTTTTACCTATCCGTCCCCAGAATACCTTACACCCCAAGGCCTACCCTCCCTGTTGGACGATTCGCGAGCCGCAACAACGACAGGAAGATCGACAACCTTCTTGCGTCTAGCTCTGAACTCATCAGTTGGCACAACATGCTTGCAAGCCTGGTCGGCTAGTCTAATCCTACGAGCTACTGTTCCCAACACGCCATACGAAGTTTCATCGACAAGTCGAAGCACCGGCCAGAGGATGCATTATTACACCCTCCATGGTCCCTGAAGATCTCTGTGGCCCCCCGAGTCAAGACACCGGCTCAAGGGTTGCAACTGTCCTTTGTTTCTGAAGTATCTCTCATTCCCGTCTGGACAATGTTGCCTTCGGAGCAGCTTTCCGGTCATCCTATCCCATCGTTTGGCAACCACCACTCTGGAGCACAGGCTCGCAAACTAAAGCGGAGGCGGCATGTTTGTTTGGCCGCATCAGGCCAACTCGCCACATCTTAATTGACTCGAGAGCATTGTCCACAGCTTCTAGAAGGTAGTTCCTCTGAACAAGTGGTTATCACGAGGGTCCCGTGAAACGGCCTCGAGCGAGTAAAAGAGCGAGACCAACGCTCCTTCACATGGGGCCTAGACGCGGCCGCGCATGGGTCGAGCTGGTAACAAGATGGTGTTTGTTCTTTTTTGTTGTACCGGACCTCCCGTTCTTTTTCCCAGATATGGTTATGCCCAGTAATTAAAATCCACGCCACCCAACAGGACGTAACAGAAACACAAATTTTCCAGAAAAAAAACACGCCATTCTCTAATCTTGTCTTGCCGGGTCCAACTTAACCTCTCCCACAATGGCATCGACCTCGGCCATGATCTCGGGCGTCAGCTTCTCCAGAACCTTCAATGCGCCCACATTCTCCACGATTTGCTCCGGCCGTGAGGCTCCGGTGATCACAGAGGTAACGTTGGGGTTCTTGAGGCACCACGCCAGGGCCAGCTGTGACTGCGTTGCACCGAGCTTCTCCGCAATACCCTAATCACACACACACACACATGTCCCGGTCAGCCATCATGATCTCTTTCGTCCCGAGTCGCGAGTGTCGCCGGCGGCGCCAGCGGCGGACACGCGGGGGAGTACCAAACGACAGCAATAACAATAGGAAACTTACCTTGAGCTTGACGACATTCTGAATCAGTGCCTTCCACTCGTCGTTACCGTACCACTCCTTGTTGGCCCAGTTGACAAACTTATCCCCCTTGCCCTCCGCAAACCGGCTCCCGGCCGGCGGCGCGTCGGGGTTGTCGTTGTACTTGCCGCTCAGCAGGCCCATCTTGATGGGGCTGAAGACGGTCAGGCCGAGGCCGAAGCGCTGGTACAGCCGCTGGAACTCGTACTCGACCTTGCGGCGCTCAAGGATGTTGTACTGCGGCTGCTCGACGACGGGCGCAATCATCTTGAGGTCTTTCGCGATGCCGCAGGCCTCGGCGATCTCGTCGGCGCTCCACTCTGACGTGCCCCAGTACATGGCGTAGCCCTTGTCGATGACGTGGTTGAAGGCGCGGACCGTCTCCTCCATGGGGGTCAAGCGGTCCGGTCGGTGGGCGTAGACGATGTCGACGTACTCGAGGTCGAGGCGCTGGAGTGAGGCGCGGAGGCCTTCGATGATGTGCTTGCGCGAGAGGCCGTGGTTGTTGACGAGGACTTCGCCGTTGGCGCCGCCCCAGTTGAGCTGTAAGTGCGCGCGACAGGTTAGAACAACTCGTGGTTCAACTGCGCGCTGTCGTTGCTTCTGCGGAGCTCCGTGGTTCAAGACTCACCTTTGTTGTGACGACAATGTCGTTACGGTTCCAGTTGAACTTCTTGATGGCCTGGCCCATGATGATCTCCGAGTTTCCGCCCGCATAGCTGTATGGAGCGGTTTGTGATTAGCTACTTCATCTTCGCTTCACTCGGCCGCAACCGCATGGTATCGCACGGGAGAAGTTCTGGAGAGACTCACCTCTCAGCTGTATCGAAAAAGTTGACGCCAAGGTCGTAAGCCTGCTTCATACACGCAAACGTCTGTTCTGCAGTGCGTCGTAGCCGTCAGTGACGCTGCCAAAACACACGAGTCTCGCAGAAGATTCGCTTGAGTCCCCGTCCCGTACATACCATTCTCAACGTGGCCGCCGAACCTGTTGTATTCACCAAAGTCAGCACGAAGGTCCTACAAAGCACTTTGCAATTTCGCGTGAGGAAATAGGTAGGAGAAATATACGTCAACCAACCGCCCAAACCCAGCACCGAGACGTGAAGTCCCGAGTTACCCAGGCGGCGGTACTGCATGCCCGTCTTTCTAGGCTCTTCCCACGCCATTGTGTCTTGTTCTACTCGGTCTGTCGGGTTGGTGATCAGGGGTAATCTAGATATCTCGGCGTCGGGCGTCGTCTCTCGAAGCGTAGGGAAGTGGCAAGTATGCGAAAAAAGGATGTAAGATGGTATGTTTACATTCACTCTCGTCTACTTTTTTTTTTCTGCGCTTCACACTGCCTGCTAATGATTTTACCCCTCCGTCTTCGCTCTCGCGCAACATGGGAAAGCTCCAAAAGAGCTTGCCCCGCACCCCTCCTCCCTCTCTGCGGAGATATTATCGGAAAGTGATGTTTCTTTTTTACCCCTCCATAACCACCTCACCACGTCATGCTAGCAGCTAAAGTAGTGGGAATCCGACTGGCATTGACCAATGGTCCACCTCGCAGCGGCGCGGTGCGGCTGGCTGCAGCTGGGTAAAGGACCAAACTGCATGTTGGTCCCCGAAGGATTACCATCATGCATATCCTATAAGTAAGTAGGTACATACATATAAACGGATCGCGGCAGGGCCAACCACCAGGGGATTTATCTAGGCACTCAGGTAGGCTGGCTTTCCGTACTTCTCGCGGTCGAAGGCCGGACTGGTAGATATGTACTAGACGCGCTTGGGGGGGACTCGATGGTTTTCTTTTTGGCTTATGGCGCTTTCTCTTTTAGTCTCTGAGGTGTCTGACGTGGAGGCTGCACCGCGGTGACCATCGAGATGTCCGCTTGAATGACTGCTGAATAGAGCAAGTTGTACCACCATCAACATCGCTAGAGAAGTTGGAGGCGGTTGTGGCAGTCTGACAGGCCAGCCCAGCTTCACCGCTTTGTTCTTACTAGCAGTTCAAAACCCGAACTTCTGCAAACTAGCAGTTTCATTACCGTCATGTGAACCAGGCAGGTAGTGCTAGGCTCTTGTGCAGGTAGCCTGCCATCATTCTACGCTACGGTCTATCGTCCTCAGCATCGAGGGAAGCTTTCCTACCAACGTTCCCCGTGTTATTCACGTCACCGGTGCGGAATCCCAGCCCGGCTCCGGGAGTAGCCTCCGTCTCGATGAGAATTCCGGACCCTGGAAGACGGGGCCGGGGGTGTGTAATAATTCATGGTTCCGCTGAGGGTTGGAGAAGAGCTTTGTCGAAATGGCAACAGGCTTGTGCTTGCCGTGACTGCCGATGGTGCCGAGCTCTCGTTGATATACTGGCTTTTGGCAAACTGGGATATTCATTGATGAACGTCGAAGGTTTACAAGAGTCTACCTACTACTATCAAATTGGTCCAGCTAATACTCACTTTGTCACAACAATATTCCGATACGACAAGGCCATCTGACCACCATTTGACGTATTTCGAAGTACTAGATATGGTGTTTATGAGCCGTCAGTGTTGCCATTTCATACCACTTACAAGAGAGAAAAAACATGACCAATCATATAGAGCACCCTGCATCATTCTACATATTATCGGCGTGCTCTCCGTGAACTACAAGTCGCTGGGCTTTGTGAAGCCTCCGCAAGTCCGGCCTATTCCCACTAAGATCCTGAGGCTCCGGGTCCCGAATGAACCCCTGTAGAATCGGTGGACCCGGCAAAAATCTCGGGGACGGGGTCGGGGGCTGCTCGTGTGGACGGTGGGCCAGCACCGCCGGCGGGGCACTGGGTAACACACACATCCATCCACTTGGGAGGAACCCAGCACTACCACACCACACCTCTTTGCTTTCAACGCAGGCGCAGTTACACAATGGGAGGGTTGATCTTCTCAACCTGCAACACGACACAACGTAATGGCATCAATGCAAACTGCTTCCTGAACATCTCCCGCGCGTCTGCGGCTGTACCTGCTTGAGAGATCATCATACTCTTACATGTTTTCTTGTTTCTTGAATAGGCAGTAACGTAAGGGAACGTCTGCTCAATAGGTACCTTTATGCTCAAACGTGTACATCCGTCTCACCCATATACAAGTATAAGTCGAGGTACCTGCAAACAGGGCGGAACCTCCGCAACTTTACTGTGCAGAGCATGTAGCCCAGCCCTTGGGGCAGCCAAAAAGTTACCCCGCATGACGGAGACGGGTTCGATGGAGGGGCAGCTGCATTCAACCTCCGATTCGGGGAAGACCCGACGGGGGGAGTGAGAGAGAGAGAGTCTCCAGAAAGCCCATTCCCTCTCGTCATTCGTCCCTTTCTCGCTCTCTTTTCTCGCTCGAATTCTCTCGTGGTCCCCAAGTGTTGGGTCGGTAATTATCAACCCATTCCCCACGCAAAAGGGATCCCAAGTACCTGAAAGTTGGCTGCGACAACCCGCCGATCATCTCTTCCCTACTGCCTTACCAAGTACAACCAGCCCACGCGCCGTCTTTTTGTGTCTCGTGTTTGGCTGAACATTGGCTTGTCCGCCTTACTCAGCTTCGTCCAAGCCAACGCTTTCCCATCTCCAAATTCTTCCAATTGGTCACCACGACCAGTCTTTACTCGCAGAAACTCTTTGCAAAGCCCTCCTCCCCCGCCAACGGACCAAGCTCCTATTACCAAACCGCTAACCAACCCCCCGCCCTCTTACCGGAGAGCCTGAACTTTGAATCTCTTAAAGGAGTATCTGCTCGCTCTTGTCTTTGCAGCTCTTTCAAATTGTATAAGACGTAGACCTCTTTGTTCTTGTATTACCAGACGCTGTTCGTTTCTCAAAGTCCGTTGCCGCATTGCGTGTATTCCAAAACAGCTACGCAAACGACCCTGAACCGGCAGCACAGCTTTCTACTCTCGAAAGCTTCGAATTATCCAACAATTCCACACTACTTCTCACCGTAAACCTACAATACACACAAGTTTTCGCCCACAATG